ATATTGGTTTTTTCCAGGAACTTCCCTTTTATTGGAATGATAGTGAGTAATTTGAATGTTTGTAAAGTGTTCTTCAGGTACAGCAACACTTCCTTCAACACCTTCAGCTCTCTTGAGAACAATTTTGGAAAAACAGAAATGTAGCAAAGGTGATTATGATAGAAAAGAGATATCTCTGAATATTCCTCACGTTGTGCAATCAACACCAAAAACTCCAGGTTGGTGAAAATACAGCCGGATTTGTTTCTGTAGATATTCTAAATCTTTTGTTTGTGTAACAAATTGAACACGATATGGTCATCTTACAAATTAATTATGACAATTATGAAATTAATTATGAGCAAGCGAAATGGAAATGTGGTCATCATATTAGAAAGAAGGACTTAAAAATAATAGAGCAAATTATTAAATATCTATTAGATTGTAAAGATATATCTTGAAATTTATGATCTATTTTTTAGCGATTGCGTCTGTTCGATATGACTCTTCTTTTTTCTTTGGGCCGAATTTCAATCCAGCAGCGCTTCATGATCAAGTAAATAAAATTTTTCATGTTGGGCGCTTTTTTTAGTTTCTCCACATGAGATACATTGTAAATCATAATTTTATATCCCATATGGTTTCCCTATTTTAATGGTGGCTTTTCTGCTAAGAGTATCTTGTCTGTTTATAAGTGCCAAATTATGTATCAAATACCTCAACGCATTGAAAAATGTAGTAATGCCCTGTATCTCAGATCACATTGTCTCTTAGTTGGGAAACCACTGATTATTTCCTGCATTATTTTTAAATACTCCAAAATTGTTTGATTCAGTTAAACTGAATTGTTATGCTTAGGATGATAGTGTTTCTCCATTACCACTCTGCAGTCCGCGAACACCAAAAACACCTCTTGATGGCTCAATTGAAAAATCAGCAAGTCGCAAATTACTCGATCACAGGAGACAATTGGTGGTTGAACTTCTTGAAGAATATGGAATGTTTCCTTCAGGTTGGTTTCTGCTAGTAGTTATTCTTATTAAAAACTGTTGCGGGATTTCATCTGCATTTATGCAGTATAATTTGAGGACAAGCTATTTCGGCTTTCCAAACCAAATATCGGCAGTTCTTTCCCAGCAAACAAGCTTTAACGCTTAAAATTCGTGAAATGCGGCAGAAAATGATGGCAAGCGTTCAATCTCCTATAACACCGTCGCCAGGTAATTGCTACTTTCTTGTCAAAATAACTGCGAAATTTCAAGAATCGTTTGGAGTAGCAAACAGTTTGTCGAATGATTTTTTAAACGTGTTTTGCAATCAAAAGTATCGAACAGATGAAATCTGAAGAAAATATTCATTAAAACTTGGTAGTCTACTGCTTTTTACAGATTGTTCATTTTCTCAGAAGCAAAATAACTTGTTCGTAAAGCAGTCCGTTTGTACATCGTCTGCTGAACACTGTTGTAAGTAATTATTTCAATAAATAGTATTATTCGATATATTAGATTTAAATGGGTCAACATTATATATTAAGACACAAATATTTTCATCTTGTGAATTAAGTTTATGTTAACCAGTTTGAGTACGAGTCACTGGCACCAATACAGTACATACCGGCGAACGTTAATATAATACCATGTAAATATGCAAATGGAAGCGATGGAATAATTCAAAAGCAGCATGCAAGTTATTTTATCAATGTACAGAACCGTTTCGATCAGATTCAGCATTCATTTCAAATGGCATTTTCGGCCAGCAGTGTGTTGCAGCTTCAGGGAATTGATTGCTTATTAATCATGTTTTAGTTTTAATTTTCAAGCTTGGCATTTTGAATACTACGAAGATTTAGATGGATTTCCGTGAGTCAAGAGTGCAAAGACGATTTTTTTTTTTGCACGCTATACTTATAACGCTTTTCGCTGTTGTCTGCACCAACTATTTATCAAGTCAGTTATAAAATATGGAAAGTTTAATTGCACTGGATCAAAACTGTGATAATATTGGAGCCATATAATCAACTAATGCAATACATCTCCTTCTAATTTTGCCATTGCAAATCGAATGCGTCATACATGAGTCTCTCGAAAAAAGTACTAGCAATCAAGACACGTAATTTAATTACTCTGGTATCGTTTTTAACTCTATGGTCAAATCAAATCCGGTGATTATCTGAAACTTTCGGATTCTCTCCTTCTGTGCTTCAACACTGCTACTATCAAATCACATAACTATTTTATATGCCATTTTTCACAGAATCAACCGAGATGACTCGTAATATTTGAGATTGCTGGAAGTTATCGGAGACATAGCATTGTTTCTCAAATTTCTTTAGCGTAACCCCTTTAATGCCACATGTTTTGCTCTTTTCTCTATCATTCTTCTCCACTTCTATTTTTTGTAAAAAGTGTATATTTTTTTTTATTTCACTATAAAGGGCGTAAATGCGCTTACTTATGTTCCCTCCACTGTTAGGTAATTTTTCCAAATGTTTGCTTGTAATTATTAAAATTAAATGCAAATGTTTGCTTGTAATTATTAGTGGTTAAGAAAAGCATTTTTCTGCATTATGAAATCGGGTTTCTTGAATTAGGAAGCCAAATTTTAAAATAAGCGCTACACTGCTTTTTTGTCGATATTAAACGGATTGTATCATGTCATTATTTATTTGGTTCCAACAATTCAACGGTTTTTAAGCCTTAAAGTTGTACATACTTATCAGGACCTGAGTATGTTATGCACTAACCATACTTCAGCAGTTCTTCATGCTTTTGAACCATTAATAGTTAACTTTCATTCTGTTAACGCAGAACTACACCTTCTTTTCATAAAAAAACTTCAATTTGAATTAACATTTAATTCATCTTTGCTAAGCTGCCCATTTAATATTTCTTCATGCCGCATCCTCCCTTCGTTCCCATTTTTACCACTCGTAGTTGGTACCACTGAGGAAGAAAAAGGAAGAAAGTGTAGTGCTTTTTTTCGGTTGTAGTGCATGTGTTTAAACACTTCATGAAAGTGTGCATTTTTTTTAACTTTTGAATAATGTTAAACTGTTTTATTCTTGTTTCGTAAGATTTTGTAGCGTTTTCGAAAACGGGACTGTCCAATGTGATCTAAAATAAGCTGGTTGTTATTTTTGTAGTCACTCTCGTTAGGTATGCTTTTTTATAATCTGCATGAAATGTCAGATTAATATTTGTTTACAACTGGGGCGAGCACCGGATAATTGCCAACATTTATGAAAAGAAAAAAGATTCTTGGTTTTTCGTCTAATTTCGCTTGATGACCCAAACTTGTACTGTTGCTCGCTCACCTCTTATAAGTCTTTTCTTACTCCAACCTAACTAACACATTCGTCTGTATCCTACTGGGTATTAAGGAGACTTATAAGAGGATAAGAATACAATGCAAAGTTGAAAAGTGATTGCTATGCGCTTCGGGAAATAAATCCTGTGCCCATTCAGGTTCGTCTTGTCAAAATTTCGGGGATGTGTGGTTCGCACTTCTATGCTTCAATTTTATTAAACTGCAGTGTGCCAGCTGATAATAAACGAAGTACCTGAAATCATATTCTTATTGTAAATTTAAGATGTTTTGCCTACATCTTTTTTATTCGAAAAAATTTTTGAAGGTATCAATGATTATCTATTCATCATTTATTATCAATAAAAACTGCAACTGGTTGAGAGAACGAATGACTTATGGCACCGAATGACTTATAATTTGCAAAATAGGAGTGAAAGAATTTTTATTAAAGCCTTAAATTTGTACGAAGGCGTTCACGGAAAGTTTGAATACATATTTAAAGGGACCGTTTGAGAAAAAAATCAGGAAACACGTTCATAAGCATGTAATTCATTTATTTAATCAGGTCATTTGTCTTTTATGTTATTCGCTCTTCTATCCCAAGTAGTGCATGTTTTAATACGGTTCATTCATATGTGGTACTCCTTTGTAAACATGAAGCGCAGATGTTTTTCAGTTCCTTCGATGGAGTCTGTATGCCAATTGTATTTTTCGTTTAAATTGTTAGCTTCATATTCGGTAGTGTGTATGTTGTGGCAATACGTGTATTAGTTATCCTTTGTCATTATTTGAAAAAATAGGTAGTTTCATATATCAGTGACTTGTTGACGCTAGCCGATTTTTTTCAGTCTACTCACATCTTACCAGCTGTGTGCTGTATAAATATTTGTTTTTCACTTATTCGCACATCCCATTTTTTCAATATTATTTCTATGATTCATAATCAAGCAGAAGGGAAGAAAGAGAGGAATTATTAATATTAATATGTGTACGTCCGATTTTTTAAATGGAGATTCTGGATTTTTGCTGAACAGATTCTAAATTATGATATAGAAAAAGTCATGAGAGTTTCTACATTTAATAATTTTGTAGTGCGGTGAAATACATATGTGTTGTGTATGCACTGTATGTTATAAGAAATGCATTGTACTCGCTGTTCAAATCCTGATTCAGAATACAAGGTAGAACAAATTACGCCGGTTTGCAAAGATTCGAGCTTGAAAATTCAGGTTGCAACTCAAACCCCAAACCTGAATGAGATGCTTCAAAAATCCGTTGCACGTGGTGGTTTTACGTGCATGGGGGCTCACTCGACGTTTCTTGCAGAAGCGTGTGCCTTGGATAACAACATCTTTTTCTCTAAGTTTCCGGATGAGTTTCTTATTCAGAAGTCTTGAAATATTTCTAAACCTGAAACATTTTTAAAAACTGGCTTGGATGGGGAAAATTTTTTTAATTATAGTTTAGAAATGGTTATGGATAAACGAGTGAAATCGAAGAGAAGAGGACTCATTTTTTATAAAATTGATTTTTAAGCTCGAAATTAAGCCAATAATTATAAAGGAGCAGCGAAATCGCAAGATTTGATTCAAACTCTAGGAGTGGCCTTCGTTCTAAATTTACCGATCATTAATATTTCTTTCTAATCAGTTGCCTTCCATAAATTGGTAATACTGCATCATCCATGTAGTCAGCAAACTGCCTTCAACTTCTAGCTGCGTCCCTGTAACACCTTAATAGCAGGTCGATCTTTCCGTTTGACAGGTGATGACCTCCTCTTCCCGATTCCTTCGCCGCATTCTTTTTCACCCTATGCTCATTTTTTAACTTTCGTAGTAACGACAACACAAAATTTGTCTTGAATTCATTTCCAGTATTGCAATCGGATAATATTTTAACAAAGCAAGTAATGCTTTGAGAAAGTAACCAGTGCACTATTTTCTAGTATGGGTAATTGTCGAGTTATTACTCAAGGAGTACTACCATCTGCACCCGATCAAATCCCTACAATCACAATCAAATTCTACCAAATTTTCCCTAAAGGTGAACAACCTGGCGATTAACCCCACTCGTGATATTTCCTAAATTGTGTTATAATGTACAGTATAAATCCTCTTTCAACCATTAAAACTCCACCTGCGATGTTCTTTCTCTCTCTGACGATTGTGTGATAACACAACCATTATCTGTGCCAGTCATCAAAAACACAGAATTTTGAATCACATCCACCTTGAATTATGATCCTTCCGAGTAAAATATCGATATTTACTTTTTTTTTCCTTACTATCAAAACGATTCCATTATCACCTGTGGAGCCTTTATGTTACAACTCTAAGCTTCAATAATCACATCCGTATTAGCATGTTTATCTTGAATGATGTTCTCAATCAAACACTATAATCCATTCTGAAGTTATGTCGATCTTCGAGATACATGTCATGAACGAAATCTGCAACAGCGTCTAAATCAGTAATCTAATTTTGAAATACTATACAATTAATACAATATCAGTATACTAGAATGTCAGTATTTCCAAATTGCAATCCACTGATAATAAGTTACCTATTTGGCCCCAACAGTTTACAAAATAGAGCATGCAACAAATACTGGCTTTCCGGTGAAGAACAACTGAAGTTGTTAAAAACAAGGCTGATACCGACATTCTTATCAAATTTTATTAAAAAATTTGCTCGTTAAAAAGCGTGAGATTAGATAGATAATAACGATAATTCAGATGATAATTAAAACATGTAAAATAATACCACAAACATATTGAGTTTACCGTAATATCTGCAAAGAAATAAACAAGGCATAAGATCAGCAACATTCGTTTTTGTTCCTATATTTTCATTTAAAATTTGCTCAGCGGTATTTGCAACAAATGAATGATTGCTTGCATAATGGTAATGTGCTATTTACATGTAAGACGAGTATATGAAAACAAATGATGGATATCTTAGCTCTACCTCACTATCACATAATTATGTCGATTGAGTAAAGTGCAGAAAATTCATCTGTAAAACGAACAATAAAACTAAGTTTCATAGCTTCTGTGTCCACGTTATAAACTTGACAGCTACACAGTGAGAAAACTTCTTACTGAATTTAAGCTACACATCACCGGAATCCACTTGTATTCCTTAATTTTTTGTAAACTATGCAGCTTTTCCGTAAACTTGTTTGGAAACGCTTTATGCTTCTTAAAAAAATTTATGCTTCTTCTCTTGTTAAATTTATTTAGTTTAAGTTACGATTTTTTGAATTTACTGCTTCATATACAATGAGATAACTTACCCGTTGAAATAATGGCTATCAACAACTGTTCTACACATACTGTGATATATGTTTGGTGGGTTTGAGCATAGATACATCGTTAGTACCAAAGGCAATAGATAATAAGGAAGTGGATATTTCCCAACCCTTTATTCAGAGATCTATCCCGAATTATTTACACAATATTAATCTCATAATTAGGAAAACAAAAAAAAGCTCTAAATTTGTGTCTATCAACTTCTATGCTGTTAAAAACGAATTTGTCTACCAGGAGAAAATCGGATTGACTGCGAAGGTAATAACATCGCATCCAACTCATCCGTTAAATTCTGCAGCATACTGCCAATATCATTCAATACATCGCCATTATTCGTTGATGTTGAGTAACTTCAATTGTGCAAATAAAGTATAGAAGTATCAGAACTCAATAATAGTTTCATAAATTGACATTTTAAACTAAGGAGCTTGAATGAAGGTTTATTATGATAAATCACTTGTACTTTTCTGCAAAATTCTGTATGTAAGAAACTCTGCCAAAAACACCAAAAAAGAGTGTCGCTGTAATATCTGTGGATTCTAACTTTTACCTGCTTGTATTTTAGACTGGTTAGATTGAATTTTTGGTGAAAATCTGCGTGGAATATGTTTACCTGCGACATGGCGTGTTCCGCTGCGAAAAGCACGTATTTGTCGATCCTTCGTTGCATTTGCGTCTTAACGATAAACTATCATGATTTTTTATTGCACCAGAGTTATGATTTGCAAATGAAAGTTGCTTGTTTAATGAGAAGGAATTAATCTCATTATAGTGCTGTCCAAAATTACTATTATCTGCTGTGTCTGATTCAGTTGTTGCTGCCATCACAGATTCATTGAAAGCCAATCTCAACAGCTGAATGGACCCTTCACATGCTAAGGGTGCTGAAATGAATCACTTTATAAATGATTATAACAAAATTTACTATGCTGGATCAAAAAGTATAAGAATTTATTATTAGGCAACCGCTAGTTATCCAAAGACTGATCACTCATAGGTTTTTCATGAAACATACAGAGTTTTTGTTAGTCCTTGTTTTGTTTCTGTCAGTGTACACTGTCAATGTAAACTGTATTAACCACATTCGCTGTAGCGTATTACTTACGCGCTTTTTTATTCAGGATAGTGTCACCAACCGAAGCTGATGGATAATGTCGAAACGTTTCAGATATAGAGAGAATCTGTTATGCAGAGAGAGTGGTCTTTACAAGTAATGTCACGGTTAAAAATTATGATAAAATAACCCGGAGGAGGTGGATAGTCTTCTGAATCAGAATTGATCGAATTATCAGCGGTGCTTAGAATCTTAGTGGAGCACATGGATAATTGCTGGCCGATGACGGAATGTTTCTGGAAGTTTTCATCAGAAAGAATTCGAGAAAGGGAACACAGATTTATATGTAATGAACTTGTTTCCTTATTTAAGTCCGATTCCAGCAACTGTCCATCACATTCTTGCAAATGATGGGGAATCGTCTCGTTCGTTACAGTTGATTGATGGTGTGAATATACCTGAACAGAAAAATATTCAAACTATTTTAACACGTATTTTACATATTTTCAGCACGTATTTTCAGCATTTTCAATTTTTACCCACAATAAAAATTATCTGAACTACCTGTTTTTGTGCATGTGATTCAGCAGAAAGGACTTCACGAATGTGTGAACGTTGTCTTTCGATACTACAGTAATTATCGTATGAGGTGCCCAAACTGTTAGAGTGAAACGTGGATAATGGAGCAGGAGGTGATGGTGTCAGATATGAATGTAAACCATCGTAAACTGGCTAAAAGAGTTTTTTTTAAAACTGACGCAAGTGTAAATTTCTTTAAATATGCGTGTATCTGTGAAATGCTTACTTGAGAGAGAAAATGAACAATAGAACTGGAAAGAAAGAGAAAAGAATTACGTTAATGAAGTAGCTCTTCCTAATAAGAAACTTGCCTGAGCATCTATTTTGTTACGATGTACAAGTTGCTGAAGACCATTGCTCGACTGAATTCGACCAGATTCGTGATCCTATAAACAGCTAGGTAAACAGCTTATATAATATGCAAACTATAACTTCCTTTAAAAAAACCTTTCTTTAACAACAATCGATTTAACTGCTTTTTAAAAATGGTATCTAGAATTTGGTTTTTATCATAAATCAAAGTTTTAAGTTCAGGAAGTTCATTTCTAACTTAACCTGGTGGTGTTAACAAAAGATGAAAATATTCAGGACAATGAAAATTTCGTCAATGTTCCGTGCAAGGTTCACTACCCATAATTTGTTTCATAAAAAAGGTGACTTCCACAAATAGAACCGTCTGTTGTTCAATGAGCGCCTCTACTACTAGTAACATTACTGCATAACAAAAGTAATGAACACCGACCATGAGCTGAATTCGTTATCCATTCCATCTAATCTATAGCATATTTACATTTTAACTACTAGAAGATAGAGCCTTCTCGGCTTGCACGAAGCTCCCAATGATATATCTCGCCAAGCTAGAAGACTGCCCAGTAATCACCACTTCGCAATGTTAAAACATTCAGAACGCAAAAATAGCATTACAGATAGAGCTCAAAACTTGCTTTAAAAACAATCGACGTGTCTCGAAATATATATCCAACAAGTATTTAAGCAAGCTTAACAATAATAGCAACCTTTATTTTTTTGATAGCAAGGCCAAGACGTTTCAAATGCCCCAACTTCTTGATGCCAATATCTTCGAAGTCTTCCCACATAAAATTTTGAATTTCATTAATTCTGCAGTATCCCTGATTCTCGAATAAGGTAATATATTCAGGAAGGCCAATTAATGGAAGCCAATCTCTAAAACATTCATTCAACGTATTATTAACAACAGATGTTAACTTTTTTTCAAACAACAGCAAAACAATTCGAGCAGCAAGTAATTCAAAAATTACTAACAACAAAAATAACCTTAACTCTCCTGATGGTACCAGTGTTGGCCAACTGTCTCTTATACGCCACCTATGAATTTCAGAAATGAGACATTTTCGATGAATTGGATGGGTTATTCCTAAAGCTGTCAAATCTTCAGGTGTTATCCGAGCGATCGTCGAGAGATCGTAGCCTTGAGTCAAGAATGCTGTTAAATATTCTGGGTATCCCAAATTACCCAGCCATAGTGCCAAAATTTCTGCTTCCTGTAACATCCTAGATGAGTCAACTTCAACAAATGGCATCTCATTTACGGGAAATGCATAAGAAATAAAGTCCGAGAAATGAATAAGCAATAAAGCGGAAGAAATATTGGATAATGATTTCATTTAATAAGTGACACAAAAAGTAGCAATTATGCTATTGCAAAAACAACGCTCAAAAGGGATGTAAAATTGTTGAGAAAAATAAAACCAATCATAACAAATAACTCACATTTTTTTTTAGCAAACTCATCAAAACTAAAAATGACACTATCATCCATTTTAATATAATTTAACTTTACTTTCATTATATTCATATAACCAAAAAGTTTTGCATATATATATATATATATATATATATATATGTGACATACCGGCATTCCTTTAAGTATTATGTCAGAAAACGATAATCTAGAAATATCCTCTAGATTATCTCCACGGATATGTTCAGCTCCTGAATCATCAAACACATTCGTCATATTATTTATGATCAAAGAAGCATCACCACTGCTGCTGCTCTGCATCGAAAGACGCGATTGGGAATTGTCCAGTAACAGATTCGACGACGATCCACATACTTTAATAAAAACCGAACGACTATCACCATCAATAGGTAGGTAGATTGAGTATTGTGAAGAATAATACGCTATAAATTGGCAAAAAATTTCTAATTGAAACGTTACAGATAAGAAAATCAGAAAAGGAACAAACCAGTGGATGAAGTTCTTAAAAATGAAGAATTACTAGCAATAGCGCCTTGACTACCAATTACTGAACAAACATGCGAGGAACCACTCTGAAAGTTGCTAAATACTCAGATAATCAAAATTTTTAACTTCGCTATCACTCTAATTGGTATAATAAATCTTAATCTTACTATTTTACATTTGCAATCACTAACTGGTTTAAACAAATTCTATCAAGCCATTAAAATTTTCCACTTCAATCTGGAAGTAACACTATGGAGGTTATAACCTTCGCTTATAAAATTATGGTTTACTTGTGCATTTAGTCCCGAAACTCTGACAAAAAACATCTGACAAATCATGCAAAAATGGTGACAATATAAGTAATCGCCTTCGGATCCCTATTTTTGTTAATTTCATTCCTGTTTCCTGTCTTCTTTCGTCCTGTTATTCTTTCATCTAATTACAGAATCTCTCTGAAAAGTACCTTACGGAGTTTTATTCTTATATTAAGAATGTGAGTAATGAAGTCTTTAAATTCAAATACAAAAAGTAACGACATGGTTCTACAATAGCAATCATGAAAAAATCATTGTCACTAATTGCATGTTGCGAAAACGATAGTAAACGGAAAAATTTAAACACCTTCATGCTTTCGAAACCAGAGGAACTGTCATGACTTGAGTTAGAACCGGCAGAATTCCGATGACATCCATTATAAGATAATTTATCAGAATTCTGCCTATTAATATAAAGGGATCGTTGCTTCAAAGAAGCCGATAAGGATGGTGATGTTGTAATCAAATTCCCTCGACATTCTTTTTCCAAGTTCATGGAATGATCTGAAAGTTTTCCATTACATTTTTTAAACCAATAACTTTATTGAATGAATTTATGTGACATTAAGACACAAAATAGCTGGAAAAGCACTTGCCTAAATGGCACGGCAATGACTATAGTAAACCTTATTAGCATGATTTGTAAAAAGATATGTTTTCATTACTTATGTAAGAACAGAAAGATTCTAAAGTCACATCGTTGCAAACTGTATTATTCCTCGTTTATCAGCTACTGAGTTAATAACTCTCCGATTTATCGGTCAGTAATATTTTACAGAAAATAATTAACTGGGAAAATAATTAACTGGAAAGTCATAAATTTTATTACGGTTTCAGGAAAGGAGTAACGAAGTTGACGAAAAAAAAGATGACCATTTGAAAAAAAAATTAAAGTTGACAAAAAAAGAGATGACCATTAGTTGTTAATGCACTAAAATTCAAAAACATAGATATAAACGAAAATATAGCTATTTGTCTATAGAATATACATATGTTCGTGAAAATGTGCAACATGTAAAAGTGAAACTGATTCGTTGAGTTGTTTACTTTGCGACAATTCTCACTCAGTAAAGTAAAAGCTGAATCTTAATCCAATATTATAGACAATCTTGTCTATACTAATATTTAATATCATCATTTAGATGATAGGCTAATAATAGACATCCGTCTGATATATTATCATTTCACGAAACATATATAATCATACTATCTCGTAAAAAAAGTTCTGTAATCATTATTTCCTATAAATTTAACATCTCAAGAAAGTTCTTGCCTCAAAGTTTCTATCATTCTATCCTTCAAATTGACTATTTTGTAATCTATTTAGCTTTAAATTACATACTTGTCTTTGGATAATGCACTGCAAATGAAAGACGGAAAATAAATGGGAAAATAACAGCAATACCAGAAGTCAGTGTCCTTCAAATTTCTATTAACAAAACTTACCTTCATATATAATCACACTACGCTGTGTATTCACTAAAGAAGCAGTCACAAATGTTAATCACCATATTTCCATTAATTTAATAAGAATACAAGAATCATTATGACAGCTATTACAACAATGGTGCACTGCTGTAAATCTTTTTACTGAAAAAAAATTTATTCATCTCTCTTTCCACCACAACATTCTCTAGCCAAATCCACTGATTTGATCAGTGTATAGAAAAGTTAGAAAAAAATGATCACTAGTACCTTTGTAAAACTTTCGAAAAAATTTTGTCCAGTTAAATGTACAAATACCTATTAAGGTACAACATCACATACAATTTCAGGAACATTACCAACAACTACAGATGAAGTGGTTGAAAAATGGACCGAGAATGGAACAACTAGAGAGTCCAAGAATTTCCAACAAAACGAAGAGAAATGAGGAGAATGTGAGGGGGTGACAGTAACCGGCAAAAACGCTGATATACTCCCAATTTGCGGGCGTCATCCAAAATTGATTGCATTAATAAACAGAAATAGAATTTTGCGGCGTAATAGACAGAAAAATTAGATTTGGAACAAAACACTATTATTGCACTTTTCCTTTCAAAAGTGAATCCACAGACAGCAACACGCTTAACATAACCTTTTCAAAAATTAACATTCGGAAGCGAAATCCAAAAAAAAAACTAAAACGTCACGGTATTTAAGGTTTCACAGGGAAGAAACACTTGCAGTGGAAAACTTTTCTAGCCTTCAATATACAAACAATCAAATGTTTCTACGAATGATACACAAAGGGATGAACAATTCATCAGCAACTACCTCATTACATTTAAGTGAAAATATTATAAAATATGAAGAGATGTAAGTGATGATAAGTGTGATGGGTAAGAATGAAGCAGCTAACAGTCATTTCAAATAACAGTATTGTGATAAGTTGCATTTAGCTACATTATTTATAAGCTGACCAAAAGATAGTCCTACTATCAAATGGAAACAGTCTTATGTCTCCATTGAAAAGTAATCTAGTCGAAATTAGAACTCATTTTTCACTAACATTACTTCTTTATACAGACTGCAACTCACAAAAATTCTCGGTAAATGCAACCGCATTTACTGCTAGATCAAAAAAAATTTTTTTTGCTACAAAAAATAATTCAGGGTTCCACTATTACTCTAACATATATGTTTGAATATATTAGATAATTTTCTTTATAAAAACAACGATCGAGAAGGGAATTCAAAACAATATCAGTAAAGAAAACAAATGAAACTTGTAAAAGTCAGTCAATATTAAACCGAACAACTGGACTTAATACCAACATCTGGTTCAAATATCACAGATAAGAAAAAAATCAGTCCGAAGAATCTTCATTAGATGTTAGCAAAGAAAATCATAAACATACATTCCCACATTCAGTAAAAAATCTCTTCAAAAATTTGATCCATCACGACCAAATTTACTAAAATATTTATTGAGGGTAAGCTTAGTTTATACTCATTTATATGGATTTTCAATTGATTGCACGATTTCACATTCTCATTGTAGCATCATATCATTATTTCAGATACATCTGGTCGATTAAATATCAGAGATAAGAAAAAATCAGTCCGAAGAATCTTCATTTGATGTTAGCAAAGAAAATTCATAAATGACACATGCAACAAAACCAACCATTCTTGTCTATATCATACTTTTAAAACTTTATATTTATGAACAAAAAAACTGAGCACCAGTGTACCTCGATTTAAAGTTTTGGTAAATGTTCAAAGAAAAAAATTATAATTTTTCTACAGCCAAATCTGATAACCAACAAAAATTTCTATTGCCACATCATTCTGCTCTGTCTGATAAAGAAATGGTGCTATCAAATCATCTATCACTACCGTATAATAAAGAAAACTAAAGAACATGGTTTGCACAAAAAAATAAATCTTTAAACAAAGTGAAAGAAGTCACATTCTTTCATTCAACGATTTCATAATATTAAAATGAAATTCGATCATTATTTAACTTGATGTTATGATCGAATTTCATCTTAATTGTTTTCTCAACAAATTTATTGCAAAAAAATGAAACCTCAATGATGAATTGTTGAATTCTAAATCATTACAACCCATTTTGTTGATGCATGCGGAACCTGTTCCTATAGCATCAATAAACGGATCGAATGAAGGATGGACAAGACTATGAAACTGATGGGACACAACAGGTCACGTACCGGATCCACAATACTAAAGTTCAGATGAATATAAAGATGAAAAAGCAATAGGAAGATATAGTAAATCAAAGGAACTTTTGGAAATAGGTATAAAATTGACTTGAAAGAAAGTGACGAATAAGGAACATTTGCAATATTCAGAACCAGAAGGGAAGAACCACTTACTGGATTCGGTAGCCATTCATGGCCATCAATCTTAATTATTTGAGTGGACATGCAATCCTAGACAAGATTTTGCTACTGTGGCAGCGAATAAGCGTAAAAAAAATATCAGCTGTCATCCTAGTAAGCATTAACGCTAAAAAACATCCTTCACGGGCTCATTAACCTAGGTTATGTACAGCTACACTAATGCTGTGACCTGCCCAGAGTCCCTTTAAACAATTGTCAAAAAAGAAAACTAACATCAATAAAAAATGTATTTAGATGAACATAGCGTTTTTCAACAAATATTGTTAAGGGTTTGCAAAATGTAAAAATGATAACGTACACAGGTATGAAAATGATAAGAACAAATAAAGAGAAAAAGAACGTATGTTTTCTGTTTGTTCCAATGAATTAAATAAAGTCAAATCAGAATTACAGAGGACAGGACAATAAGCATGCTCAAGAGAAAAATTTCCCATATCTTAAAGACACCCGATGATTTTTGATAAGTCCCAACATACTTGTAACTTAGTCAAATCCAAATTTAAACTTGAAATTTCAAAAATTTGACATGTTTTCATTATTAATGCAAAGAATGCATGTTAGGAAAAATAATGCTTAACAAGTGGAGAGAAAAATGAAAATCTTTTTTTATGAAATAAAAAGAGAAAGGACGAGAAATATATATATATAAGAACGATTGGGAAATATATATATATATATTCCCCAATCGTTCTGTAACTTTACTAGTTGATCTTCGATTTTCACGTAAGACAAATTGTATAGAAGAATAAACGAAAAGAATAAGCAGCACAAACCTTTTCTCCTGCTGAACAGCATATGAGCAGAATATGAATCGTCGCTGACACACAAACTTGAAGGTACCATCAATGCTGTCATGCTAGTAGATGGTATATGTATCACGTTTAACGGCGACTTTGTGCCTGTAAATTCTACTTCATTTATGCAAAGAATAAGTAAGCTTCCAAAAAAATAAATTATCATAATCAAATTCTGCCATCATCTAGATTTTTATTCATTAACCTTCGACGATAGCAAAGAAAAAAAAAATTAATTTCAAAAATTGACAAAAACTCAGGAAGACTCAGGAAAACTCAGGAACTAGAGCAAAGAAAGTATATTAAAAAATAAAAATTAAATACAGTCTGCAGCAGTAGGGAAGAAAGTGTAATGCGAAGTAATGTGGAAAAGAAGATTAAGTATATGCATACTTAATTTTTTAACAGCAAGTTTTTTTCCATCAAAACTTGATCCAGTTACACTGCTCATATATCAAATTTAATATCTGTTGATAAAAATGCCTTGATTTGTTTTTCTAAAGCTAAGTAACTCGGCCTTAGATAAAGAGAGCTTGTAAATAATATGCTCTTTGTTAACTGAAATGCTGGTGACAATGCCTAAAAAACATTTATTACTTCGGAATATTCGCGCTTCCTAAGGAATAAAACAAAGTACAGTTTAAATTATTTGTCCCTCCTTCTCACCAAATACCTTTCCCGTCCCCTCCTCCTCAAATCAGCAAACGAAAAGCTCCAGTTGTTGCAGATAGTAATAATTAAGTAAACAATGACATATTTCCGAAAACAAACAAATGTACAAAATTTTTCAGCTGAATTTTCATTTCAAATAATAAATTTTTTCCCAAAATCATAAATTGAACTTCACATTGAAACATTGAGTGGTAATTGACCAAGTTAACTAATGAATCCTTTGGTAACCACTGAAACAAGTGGAAAATCTAAGAATGATTTTGAACGCCTATCAGGGAAATTTTTTATGTGGAAAGAAAATAAAAAGCTTACTTTTATCAGATCTTCCATTTTCTAATAAGCCATTCTTTCGCTGCAATATAACAGAACCTTCCAATTCGTAAAGGTCTCTTGTCGCTGCTGCCTCAATAACATTTGTTTGACATGTTCCGTACTTTTGAGCATTAATATCGGGTACTTTAGGCACTGAGACCTAAATCAATCCTTGACAATTTTCGATTTATAAATACGTATAAGTGTGTAAGATCTCACAACCAATTAGACTTCAGCAAAAATGAATTAATGATAGAGAACATACACTACCACTATGTCATTCACCTATTCAGATTATAACTTTAAATTTCTAACAAAAAAATATCGAAGAGTTTTCAAAAACAAACTTTTTTGACCTGTCGTGGCATTTGCTGCACTACCGTACAACCTGGACGTGATCCCAAACGTGATGGCATTGCAATCACTGAAAACGAACAACTAATACCGTAAATTGTACTTCATTATCAGTAAAATATCGACAAGACTTTAAAATGTGTTTCTATAAACTCCTACGCTACAGCAAATGAGATTTAAGAAGAGTAGAGTTAACTACTATAGATCAACAAATTTTGAATTCTCTCTAATTATTTCTGAAGACAGAAGCATAGAAATTTACAGCTCATAAAAAATGTATATATATTTGTATATATTCTAAAAAAAAAATTTTTTTTAATTTTGCATCCAAATTTTTTTGTAATACCAGTGATACTTGGAATACAAAAATTGATACGTATTCCAAGTATTACTAAACTTGATAGCTGCAGCACTGTATCGCAAAAATTACCTGAGTTATTTTTCCAGTATTATTGAAAAATTATTTTTACCGAATTATCCTTCTCCAACTCTTCCTATTTCCGACCAATTTAATTAATGTTTGCTACAAAACGAAAATAGCAAATATACTACTGTCAAATTGTCACGATGAGGAGTGAAGGACTTACATGGAAAATTTTGAAATATTTCTTTAACCTTTCTGCTAAATGTAAACTACAGCACTATAACTAAATTTTAGTTCTGTCATTAGTTGGCCATGCGAACATCGATTAGTTTTGTCATTGAATCAGTGCTCATATATTGCTGTTGTTGTAATAATACAGCAAAAGATTTTCCCCAGTCGATATAATATGGAAAAAATGATTTACCGTTATGTTTTTTTATGGTAGCATGCATTCGGTGGATCGATAATGGTCTCAGGATGACTGAATTGAAACCATAATATTCATTCAAAAAGATATTTGTACAGCACCTTAAAAAAGATACTACCAGCGTAGCACTTGCACCATGAAGCAAGGGAGAGATATCACAGAAAGATAGATATCATCAAAACGTAAGACAAAAATAAAAGAAAAAACAAGATGTAACAAGATGTTAATAAAAAAACCATTTCTACCCAATTACGAAAGCTGGCATCAAGTAGAGAAATAAATTAGATGCATTTTGAATCACAGTTGCTATTTAGAGAATCATAAATAAATTTCCTTTATCAATGACACAATTACTGCTTGTCAAATGTACTTTTTTTTGTTTGTAGCATTATTGATCCGGAACAAGGCTTTTCTGGAGATCACTAGACAAAACTTTACGGAACTAAATGTCTTATAATGAGGTGCATTACACGCCATCAGTAACAAGTGAACACACAATCCATCCCCAAAAGAATTGGTAGCAGAAACACAGCTTCTTCCACTTGACCGTAGTATCCTACACTGCGTCTAGAAAGCATGTAGGTTATTTTGAAAGCTTGCCCTACAAAATGTCAACATCAGAGCCATATTTCTCACAATTGTTGATTCACATTGTTCATGTCTTCTCTGGAGATAAATAGTAAAGCCTTTCATAAATCGAGGGGTATAATCCAACAATTTATATAAAACTATAATCTAAACAAATGACAATTCAAAAACAGCTGTTCACATTGAATGGTCAATTATAAAACAGATCAGTTAGTTGTACAATTCTCTCTCAAACCCATCTCAAATACCTTATCACAATATAGAGTTAATAGTGGTTAGGCAAGGGCACCAAATCATGGAATGTAAATTTCAAAAGCTTTATTTACGTTCAGACGAACAAGGTGTTTACTAAGTCGATCTTTACAACTATATGTTGCTGTATAGGGGATAAAAAAGTATTAAAGCAATATTAAAAGTCGTTTTAGTGGAATTAAAAAGCATTCATTGTTTAGTTTCCAACGATGTAAACTTTGCACTGCTCGATTAGCGCTCGTTTCATTTCGATGATCACTTCCATTGAAAAATTTGTTACATAGCTAAGGAAAGATACGGGAAATTTTGCAATAAAAAAAAGATAGTTATTTTTGTTGAAGTAACTATTACTGCCATAAGCACTCATATACAAATCAAATGAAACTTCTCACTTACTGCCAAACAAGCATCAACCATTGTCAGGGAAAGTGATAAATATCAACTCCGCCCTACCATTTTTAATCAGACAAAAGTAGAAAAACTAAGGGAAAATCGAGAAAAATAGAAGATCAGCTCATGACTAATATTTTTCGATTTTGATCCCTAGCAGTATAATTAGTGTTCAATGTTACCATAAGGTACTCCAATGCTTTTTTGGACAGTCTGATGATAACGAATTAAGTAAAGACTCCAAAATATATAACATAATACAAAAGTTCAGATTTTAAAAGAATGCAAACTGTAGTAAAAGACTACATTTCAGAGGAAGAAGCAATTTATGGAAATCGGATATCGATCTTTTGCAGACACACAACCTCTGAGCGCTATAGTTCATAGAAAATTCCACTGTCGACCTATATAATTTCACTCCATAGCTGGACGCAGAACAGCAAATCGATAAACTACTCCGTAACCGTCAATGAACTGTCTTTATCAACTTTCTCTCGTTGACAAACCAGTCAGTTTAAAATATCCAGCCTATCAACAGTAATACTTTATCAGCAGCGTCCAAGATATACAAATTGATGATAATAATAATGATTAAGAGATTCTGCATCATCAAAAAATGACCCCGCAATGCACAAGACAGCGAGATCAACCTAATTCTGTTAATTAGCCTACTTTCTCACTTTCATTAATCTTCTAGTAAATGTGTCTTGCATGCTATCACATCATTTAATGATTTTATGACACTATGCACTATAATAAGCTTTTCGATAAAGTTCTATGGAATCAGAAACTAGTTAATTGGAAATAATCCAAACGTTTTCTAGCAAGAAATGACAAGTAAAGTATTCAACAAGAAAATAAGCGACAAATGTTTGAAGAAAACGAAAAATAGTTTTAAAACATAAGAGAAAACATAAAATTTTTTTTTTCAACGAAGGGATGGGAATATTCAGTAATGAATTAGCGGAAATCATCGGACACGAAAGACAAAAACATCTAAAAACTTCAAGAATAGAAAAAAAACAATTCTAAATCATATAACTGCCCTTAGCAGCATTGGTTGGAATTTTTCCTGAAATTGAAGTTTCTGCATTCGTATCATTAGAAGAAAGGAATAAGAAAAAGGAATGGAACAAGGCAATGACAAGTAAACTTTTCTCTGAGTCTCTTTAAATTCGATTGTGAGAATAGAATTTACAATCACAATGTGCTCACTGAAATAACTTCACTAGATTTCATGGAAAGTTCTAATGATACCATATCCGGCTAAACGTCACCTCGTCAGATAGGTTCACTGTCCCTTTAGTGTTGACAACTATCAATGATTCTGATTAGTTGCTCCTTGCGGGTAAACATATTACAGAGTCTTTTCGATCCTTTTGAAGCTTCTACGAATATTTTCCGCATGTGCAAAATAGATTTGTGATGACCTTCACTATTATAAGTGTTCAAAATTAAAAAAATTTAATATGTCAATTTATTAAATATTTTACATTATTAAAATATTATTCTAACAGTAATAGCTGGAACATCGAAGATGTGCAATAATTATAAATTACTTATGAATATAAATACAGGGAAGGAATAAAGTGAAACGTACCTCTAATTAGCAAAGTTTCAATTTTTTTATATTTGAAATGTAAAAGGAAGATCAAATATGCCAGCAGGGGAAGAGACAGATGCTCTAGCGTTTAACAATTTTCGCCTATTTCAAGTGCTCTGTACATATATAT